TTCTTTCCAAGGGAATCCCACTGCTGGACTGCTCTCGAGACAGTGTTCTTTCCAAGGGAACTCCACTGCTGGACCGCTCTCGACAGTATTCTTTCCAAGGGAATTCCACTGCCATTCCACTCTCCCATTCAACTTATTCGTATACGGTCGCTCATTTGTGTATAGTCGCATTTTCGTGTATAGCCGCTCGTTCGTGTAGTCGCTCATTGGTGTAGTCGCACATGTGTGTACAGTCGCTCATTCGTGTATATTTGCTCATTCCTGTATTCGCTTATTCGCGCTATAGTCGTGTTGTCGCTCGCGAAACCTTAGACCATAATTACGCCCTTGAAGGTTGAAGACCAGAGCACTGCTTATATATATTACTTTTTCAGACACCGGGTCACCGACCTATATCCAACCATATCCAATAACCACTTACTTTGAGGTCAAGGTGAAGCATCGTGCTTAAGACTACAAAAAGGCACCGCCATTACAACACCCCAAAACGCTCTTAGGCGTCCACCCCAGACTTGCTCGACACATCATCCTCCTCGACCGCTTTTAGGACTTTTTTTCTTGGGCTTTAAAGCTTGCGTGCGTCGTTTAGCGTCTTTGACGTCTCTCGACATCGCAAAGCTCTTCCTTACGCTTCGCGATGAAATCATTGATTCCCTCGGCAGTCATCTCAGACATTGGCTTTGCCACGTAACCTTGGATCTTCGCGTAGCAGGCGTTGAGATTGTTAGCGTGGGATTCCAAAGATCTCACCTGAAGGATCTCAGGCAGACTAGGAAGACTAATTCACACTGTCCCACAGCGTCGCAATGCATGTGATCACATGGACGCCAGCGCGCCATTTGTCCAAAAACAATCTCAGATCAGTCACCAGCTCGGTGCAATTGCGGACAATTCTTCTCTTCGAAATCATTCAGGCAACCGGTCCTATTGTTGATCAATCCGAGAGTCCTGGGAGATCACTTGGGTGAGTGAAGCAAAGAGTCGAAGACCTCCAAACAATCTATAAAACAAACCCGGGATCTTGAGCTAAGATTCTTCTTCTCAAAAGTCCACAAGGCCTTGTGAGCTTCTTGCAACGGGGTAACCTCCTTCTTGGGCTTTTTGTTCTTGATCTGTCCGGTCTGCAAGTCGAAGTTGGGGCCGAGTTGATCTGCCATAGCGGACTTGAGCTCACTGGCAACTCTTTTCTTGGATTCTGGATCCTTCACAATTCCACCAAGCTTCACCTCAATGAACCAGACGGCGAGTGAGCTACATCAGCCCCACATCCAATGGAAGAATCGCCCAATTTTGTTATCGGTATATGCCCTGCATAGTCTCTGGGGGAACAGAATAAAAAACAATGACTAAACAGTACATCGAGGTTCAGAGCTTTCAGCCACCCTACCAGATTTGCCCTCTTCAAGAATACGGGTGAGAACCTTGTACATCCGTGCTTTCGGATTGTCCGGCGCCTGTCAGGCGCAGACAGCAGCGAGTCTCCAATCTCCAAGACCAAGTTTGACCCTGCAGGCCTGTGGGTGCGGCACGCCGGCTTGACCTTGGGCCAGGATTGGTCTCGGGGAATCAATTCTAACAACACCCTGAAACTCCCTGACCTTCACCCACTCAAACAAAGAAGTCCAAGGCGCCACCAGTGATAGATTGGATGAAGGCTTTTGCCTCCTTCGAACGACCATATGTCTTCTCCAGCTGCAGGATTGTGACCTGAATCATGGGTTTGTGCACCCTGAAAGGAAAATCAGAATACAGCATCCATGTAAAGTACGGAAACCAATAAAGGGCAAGGGTCCGTTGAGTACTGATCTGTTCGAAGTTGTCCTGCATACTGACGGTAATGTTCTTCGATGGAAATCTGCGATAGGTCTGGATTGAGCATCCAGACACGGAGCATCTGAAACCTTAAAGAGGTCGATTCCAAAAAGGGGACACTACCAGTTGTTCAAGACAAACATTGCATGCGTTCAGGAAACCGCTCGCTGTCGGAGCAAAGTCCTCTGAAGTAGTAATTTTGCTAAATCCTTGAAATTACTAAAATCGAACAAATTACTATATAAAACTACTAAGTAATGCATTCTTAGTAATTTCGTGAGACCTCAAAAATGCATCAAGTGCTTCAAAAGTGCATCATAAAAGCTTCAAAACTGTGCATCACAGCAGCCACAAGGAATGTACTGCGCAAGCAAAAGAAACATGCCCAAGTAGGCCAGGAATGTGTGTGAACCTTGAAAAAATCAATCACCACCTGCGGATGGTGGAGGTGCGGTCTTTCTTCTGGTCTGTCTCCTTTCACATCCTAAAGTTGGTGTTGGGGTCGACCACCTCATCGCACGTAGCAACCTCCTCTTCTGGACCCTCTGTGCTCTCCTCTGTGTTCTCTTCTGCCTTCTCTTCTGCCTTCTCCAAACCCTCTGACCATTTCTTCTGTTTCTTTTCTGGCTTTGTGTTCTCAGGCTTCTCTGTCTTCTCCTTTGTTGACTGACTTGGCTTCTTCAAGGCCTTCATAACCTTTGTTGTAGGTTTCTTCATCACAGCCTTGCCCTTGGGTTGTGCCCAAAGCTTGACCTTGGCATGTGCCTTTGGCTTGCCCTTGGCATGCGCAGCTGCAATGACTCATGGTCACTCTGGTGAACACTCTGGTGAGGACTCGGTTGTGTAGCAGGCAC